ATTTTGGAAAGCTGAAGTTAAAAAAACTGCTTGAGAGAAATGTTCAGTATCTGAGATCAGAAAACGATACAAAATTTACTGGTAGTGCATTCCAGAAATTTAGTGAGGAACATCTGAACATGATATTCAAAGGCACTTTACATCGAAGAAACACTTTAGTAGAACGATTTCGGTGAAGGATATAACCATAAGGAAACTTACAAAATAAAGATGTTGCTCTAGATGCGGAGTAAGTGAGGAAACAAAAAACCATGTATCTTTTATTGTCCATTTACTTGCTTAGTATTTTAGCCTAACCTTTTGGCCTTTTTGTACCATGCCCTACCATCTTATTTTATCTACACTAAAATGGTTAAATGAGGTCTGACACAGAGAGAGAGAGAAGTTAAGAGACATTATCTAGGTTGCAAGTTTTCTTTGATTGTTGTGGATGCTTTGGAAGACAAAAGAACGATTTTTGCTTTCCAGATTCTAGGATTTGATGTGAATGGTGGAAAGGAAATTTAGGGATGCTGAATGGTTTAAGAGTAATTCATAAACAAAAGAGAAAACCCAACACAACCTCATCTTATTCCAAAGTGGTCTCCTCATCCTCGAGGCAAATTAAAATGCAATATTGATCATTCTTGCCATGTAAGAACTGAAAAATTTGGTGTTGGAACTTGGATGGTTGATAAGAGATGAGATGGATATATAATGTTTTCGTATGGAGCAAAAACTTCAATCTCCTGCAAGCGGAAGTGAGAACTCTCATATGGGCGATATGGTTCTTTGATAATCTCGGCTTTGACAAAATCATTTTTAGTGTGGTTCTAATTCTCTAGTGTAAACTATGAAAAGTCTTCAAGATTGGTCAAGCTTACACTCATACACAAGTGGAGCTGCTCACATAAGTAATTTGAAAGCACTCTTTACCTTTCAAAATAGTCATGCAAACATGTACGCCGACACAATTGCCAAAAAAACGCATTCGCTTGATATTTACTTTGCAATTGTTGTATTTTTTATTGGACTCCAATTATTGAGAAATGAAGAAAGGTGGTGTATCTTATGATTTTGATTGCATCCAAATTGTCACACTACATACAACTAAAGAATTAAAGAAATAATATCTTGACTCCGCACAAACCTTTCTTTGTTCATCGTATTTTTAGCTTCGATCAATGTAGTTTAGCATATATATCTATTGTTATCAAAAGCAATTATTTTAGTTTTGCCTTAATATTGGTCGTACATATCGTGTTGTGTTGTTCCATTTGATGAGAACGAGAATCATTGTAGTCCCATGTTTGAGGGAAACCAAAAAAATGCAGCATATATTGTCCAAACCGGTTTCAAATATAATAAGCCTAGTTCGGTTAGTTTTTTTAATTTAAATTAATGGTTTCTGACTGGTTTGATTATCATCGAATCGGACATTAGAGATTAGAAGTGTGAAAGACGACGGCCCCCGACAAAGATCCATCAGAACACTCAACGATGTCGTTTCTGTCTCTCGTGCTTCCATCTCCTCCTTCCTTGTCTGCTAAGGTCAAGCCTTTCAATGGCTACGGAAAGTTCGATCGTTATCTCGTGCGAGCTTCTTCCGATGTTCCCGATTTCCTCTCTGCGGATTGGTACTCCTCATCGTTCCTTTCTTCCATCTCTCTTTTACCTCAAATTTCGTTCCAGATTAATTAGCTTTCGATTTCGTCAATTGGTTTGGAGCATCTATAAGTAGCTAACCAATCGATATTCGAGCCATAGTTGCTTCGCTTAGCATTGGAGATGTGTTCTATTTTTGTCTTCATAGCTTATGTTGTTGGATGGTTCTTTTTCCTGGTTTTACAGGTTGGAGAGTCGTAGGAAACGTCTTTTTGGCCCCAGACTTGATGTAATGACCACACTCTTTACTGTCTGTCTAAGCCACTAGTAACATATGTATTGATTTGTCTCTGTTGTGATTGTATTGATCCGAGTTTTAGATTGTTTGTAATAGTTTAGTGCGGAAGTAGCTGTTCGGCATCAGCTTGATGCATTGAAGTATAATGACCATCCTCGTGATGATTATGGCATCGAGGTCATGTATCGGGTAAACTTCATTACAAACCCTTCCCTGATGCTTCATTCGGTTTTGTTCATGCTTTTGACATCTTTTTGTCGAAAAACAGTTTGCTGGATTCGACCCATTTGAGAGATCCACCTATTTTGGCCCTTTCTTTGATCTTGGGCAGGTTTGCTTTAAATCTTTCTTTCTCAACACTTTGATGATCATTTTGTTCCTAGCTACTAGCTATGGTTCTCATCCCCTGGTTCTCATTGGTTGGTTCAGTTTGAAAGATTTAGACGTATATTTCACCACTCGTCCTACCGTGTGTTGCTTGGTCACAAGGACAGAAAAATCTTAAGCAGTTTGTTTGTGGAAGAGGTATTGTCATCTCTTTTGAAGATGTCACAATCATTTTCAAAGCTCCCTTGTTCTTGATGGTGACATCCTCTTTTTGGATACAMTGGTATATACAGAATCGGTTTAAGCAGAGGATTTGGATTGAAGGAACTCGACCCGGCGAAGAAGAGATATTTGAATTCACAATGGTTCAGGTTTGGTTCCTATGGCACCATAGAGACCCTAAAAGTTTTGAATGGTTAATAAGATGTTGATGTTGTGATCTGCAATGATGATGAGGGTTTGATTTAATAAGAAATCGAATGTGTATTGCAGCGGATAGGCGGTTCATGGGACGGTTATTGGTTGACAGAGAGCTTGCTTCATGATGGAGATGTGTTTTCAGGAGGAATGGCTTACTGATTCAAAGGCTGAGCTTCATCTCTTTCTCAAGTTACCAATTTGTTCGGTTCGATCATATGCGTATATGTTGGGACAGGGTATTGTAAGCTTATGTTAATATCACACTCGATTAGATTGATTACATGTTGCTGTGTAGGAAAGCTGTCTTTGTGTAGTGTTGTGAATATAACGAGCAGAGTTTGCTTCATATGAATGTAATTTGTATATTGATGTTATCCAGGTCTGTTTGTTACTTACTTGCATATAATGGTAATAGTTTTGCATAGATTTAGGCCTCGGTTGCTAGTTCTGTCAATTGTAAAGGCAAAAGCTATTTTACAAAAATACGAAAAAATTGTTGAACCAACTAGTTTTGCATTCTTCTTTGACATATAAATGTAAACACAAACACAGAAACTAGATTTTGAAACAGTCAAGAGCTTAGAGTCTGATTTTATTCAATGATCAACTACAGATAGGGCTAGGAAAAATAAAACTGTTATTTTTAAGAATACAAACTCTTAGCTTTGATCATAACTCATAAGAGAAAGCAAAAAAATTACAAATATGAAGAGGTCTCTCCTTGTCACTTATTCACAAGTGTGAACATTAGCAAAACACTGGGATTCAGAGAGAAACTGAGTCACACATGGTTTTTCTCTACATGAACAGATATAACAGCGAAGAAGATAAAGAAACAAAGATGTGTAATTCTTCCCGGATTTTGAAAATAGATCATAAAAAGTATAAGGTACAAAACCATATAAGTTACCAGTTTGCATATTTTTACTTTGTAGGCCATGTCGCTTGTGCTGACTGACATAATGATGCCTACGATAACTCCAAATAACCCGAGTGCACTCCCAAAGATCTCAATAACAAGAATCTTGACAAAGAGCGTCGAGTTCTGGGCATCAGACAAGGCGCAACTGCTTCCAATGATTCCTACACATAATCTGCAAAAGCAAAAAAAAAACAGTGAGATATCCGGGTTCGAAAAGCCTGCAAGGTTGAGAAGAGGCAGAGGATGATGAAGAAGAAACAGACCCGCATACAAGGTTTGCGAATCCGACGATGATTCCAGATGCAAAGATTGCGTATCCAGCTCTTAGAGACTCAGCATCATACATCTTTGATGATGGCACACTCTCCAACTTTGTTTTTGTTTGTAGTATGATTGCAACAATAACACCGTATATAGCTACGGCTTCGCAAAACACTTGTTCATTACATACTTGTAGCATCTAAGTCCAATCAAAAGATTCTATTCTGATGTATCATAAAAGCCAATTTTATCATTATGCAGAATTTTATCAAGTCATGTATGGAAAAATAAATAAATCCTACCAAACAAGAAATTGTTGTATGCCGCCTCATGTTTATAACTTACTCAAATTGCAACAATTTAACAGAACAAAACTTTCAAAACCAAAACTATAGAATTTTAACAAAACAGATCAATCGATCATTCGTCACCAACCTCATGTCCCCTCCCCCCCAATTAGCTCCCCAAGCCATCCAAGTAGCTCTGTAAATCTTTTAAGCCCTCCGCCGAGAAGCTCCGGTGAACCCTCAATCTCGGTGCAACCAAGTTCAGCGGCGCTTGTGGCTGAAGACACACAACCACCGCCGTCACATTATCCCCACTCTTCCTCTTCAAAGCCTCCTCAACCAACTCTTTACTACACATCACCGGGTCATTGTGCTCCTGCAATCTCCTTCTAGCAAAATCTACGGCATTCTGGCTCATGAACACATCCCAAACCCCATCGCACCCGATGATGAGAAACTCATCTTCTTCAGTTAGTTTGGTTGTCATGAGCTCAGGCTCTGCAATGAGAGGTCCCCCGTCAGAGCCATCTTTTTTCTTCTTCATGCCTTCCATATGGAAGTCCCCGAGCGCACGAGCAACATTAAGTTGCCCATTTAGATAGCCGTCGTATACATAACCACCCGATGCCTCGATGCGTCTTTTCTCTTTACTGCTCATGGGTTTGTGGTCTTTTGACATTTCAATGGCTTTGCCCTGACGGGACAGCACTGCTCTACAATCTCCAGCGTTTGCCACCACCAATAACCTGTTACCACAGAATGGTGTCATACCCTGGAAAATGAGGAGCATACAAAAAACTAGAAGACCATAACGTGTATTTTAACATCGATATACAAACTTCAGTAAAGGTAGCAATGTAAAGCTCAGACAATAACTATAGTATGGCAGCAGCAAAGACAGGCAGAGAGTAAAAACTACAAGCGGAATAGTGATGTGATTGTGCTCAAGGTCATAATTATGAGCACTGTGCACTTGAGGATATCATGCGTCTCTTCCTTATTTAACCAAGATGTAAGGCTAAGTAGAGAAAACAAATATGGGAGACAACATTCAGAATACCAGTTTTCCCCGAAAGATATCCACACAACATGTTGGCCAATAATAAAGAGATTGTCCGATTGTGTAGCACATTGCTAGCCTACCTATGCAGTCTTAGGTAGTTGTCATTTTGAGTTTTTAGAGTTAAGGTTAAACGTAACTGAAAGATAGTAAGAGTCGAATCAACAAACCTCCCAAAAAGAATAGCTGCCAAAGCAGTAGTTCCTGAAGCAAGGCTCGCGTCCAATGCACAAGCCTCAGCGAAGGCAGTGTCTGTTTGAAGAAATGCTGAAGAAATCACCTTATTGATTTCACTAGGAAACTCTTGATCTTCAACAATGTACCTTGGTATATGGTGACATGCAAAATCAGCGGCATGCTTCCCACCATGTCCATCAAACACCTAACATAAACAAATTGGACAAGAGATTCCAGATGTTTATTACATGAACGGTGGTTTGCTTAATCCATATAAAATCAATTTGGTTTGTTCAAGCCAGAATCGAATGGCCAAAATGATCTGAAAAAAGTAATCCATACTAACAGAAGATTGTGCATCAACAAACTACTGAGAAAAAAAAAAGGTATGTGATGTAACATCTATATCAGTTTTGCTTCCCAATTGCGGCAACAACAAAATGCAGAGATCAAGATACATGAAGAAAGAATTTACCCCGTAAAAGGCACTTGGTCCATCCCCAGAATTCTTGAGGCCATAACTATCCATGAAATTATCAAGACATAGATAAACATCTTCCATGGTTGACCTGGAGCCAACATCAGACCAAGCTCCAGAACGCATAGCAGGAACAAACTCAGGCTTATTCTTCTCTAAAGTAAACTCATTCTCAACAATATCTGACACCTTTGTCTTCACCTACCAAAAACAGAAAACCTCAAGCATCCATCTCATAGCGACACATTAAAAACAAGAAGTGTAATTTGCATTATGTAAAGACGCTTCAAGCATCTCCAATTCAATTGGATCGGATAATTAGGAAACAAAAATGATCAAAAGGCAACGCAGACCAAGTGATTACAGAATTAAACATCCAGATTTCATATATCTAAAAACGTCAAAAGGCATTGAATAAAGATGATGTCGCATTAAGTACTTCCATTGAATTCCAATGTGAAAATAAAGAGTGAATTATCCAAAATCAAGCTCAAAGAAAGGAATCTTACAAGAGATGGGTGTCGAACCAGAGACTTTTTATTACACGGCGCCAAGAAGCGGTCGCCGTCCAAGCTCTGCCTGTAGGCGGC